AGCTCAAAGACATTGTCCGGTTTTGCGAAAGCATGGACGTCGCCGATGTGAAGCAACTTCAGTCACTATCAGCTAGAATTCACTTCTTGCGTAGGGTGCACAATTCTCACTCCGACGGTGAGGATAGCGTCCTTATACGAGAACTCAGTTTGAGACTGTCCTCTTCCCCGTGTTCGTTGGATGGCATGTCTCTACATGAAGATAATCATGATGAAGTCGCACTCTTCGATGGCTTGGCACAGCGGCTCGCAGATCTCCAGTGTCAAGCACCGGAACGGTGTCGAAAGCGAATGCCTGATTGCGATGAAACCCAAAAAGCACAGGTCGTCAAGGCGATCAAGGACATCGCCAATCATATCACTGCACACATAAACGAGGAGGAGACAAAAATTCTCCCCCTGGTTAGAGCACATTTCAGTCTGGAAGACCAAGATCGTATCATGCGCCTCGTCATGGCTAGGGTGCCCTCCGAGTTTTTACATGAACTTATTCCGTGGATGTTTGGCTTTTTGTCCGTGAACGAGCAGGAATCAATGCTAAGAAACCTGATTCGAACAGCCCCGCGGGATGAGGTGCGGAAAGTTGTCGGCGCGATAGCTGAAAGCGTGCAGAAAGGTATGACTGATCGTATGGAATGGAACGAATTACGGCTTCGCGTACCGGAAATTGAGAACGAATACGGCTGCTCTACTGGAACAAGTGACTCAATGGGGTCGGGACCAGTATCGGAGATGTTGCGAGTTCACAAAGCTTTCCGCATCGAACTGCATGGCATTATGCGAAGAGCAAAAGAGATATCGGCGGATGGGTCAAGCCCAAATCCTCGGACTTTGGCGTCGCTGGCAGAAAGCATTGCCTTCCTACGGAAAATGGTGGATGACCATTCTCGAGCCGAAGATAACATCCTCTTGCCCAGACTTGAGAAGAGAGTTCCAGGAATCTCGACCAGGTATAAGAACGACCACTGCGACGAAAGGAAACTCTTCAACAACCTCGCGAAGTGTCTCGAAGAACTACGATGTGCATGCGACGAAACAGAATGCACACATCTAGTTCACAAGTTGCAAAATCTCGCGAGAACGCTTCGTGATGAAATGATGCATCACCTTCAGGAAGAGGAGGAACACATGTGGCCACACGTCGAAGCGTTGTTCACCGCAGAGGAACAACACGAGATAATGGCGTTGATTTTTGGGCAGATGTCTTGCGACCGACTGCGCGAGTTGTTGCCGTGGATGATCCGTATGTTGTCTGTGTCGGAAAGAAACACAATGATGAACCACATCCTTCAAGTGACTCAGTCCACCATGTTCGAGTCTTGGTTGAAAACTTGGTTGCCTTTAGAGGAGGAGAAGGACGATGAGCTACCCCCGAAAGACAGCAAGAATGCGAAAGTAGTTGCGGCACTGGAGACCAGAAGAGTTGATGACAGCTCAAAGGCTGACGATGCGGTAGCTGCCGAGAAGTCGAATCCAGTCAAGACTGCGCTGGTGATATTGAGAGGAAAGGACAACATGGAGAGAACGCTGCGGTCAATCGCACGTGACGCATCACTTTCTGTGGAAGAGAGAACGCGCATGATGCAACAAGTGATGCTGGCTCCTTACAACGAGAGTCGGGCGAATGCCTTGGCTGCAAACCAGAAGCTTCAGAAAAATGAAGATGATCGCTCTGTATCCTATCGAAGAGACGAAAGTGGGAAAAAGCGCCTTGGATGCAAGCACTACATGCGCGCCTGCAAAATGCGTGCGGCATGCTGCAATCGCCTTTACACGTGCCGCCTTTGCCATGATGCCGAACAAGCACATATCATGGATAGAACGGCTACTACAGAAATCCTGTGTATGCGGTGCGACACGCTCCAGGCGGTCTCGCCAGGTTGTGTCAACGCTGAATGTAGAGAGCGATTTTCAAAGTATTTCTGCAAGGTTTGCGTGTTCTTCGAAGACGACGGGAAGCGAAGCGTGTACCACTGTCACAGTTGTAATGTTTGTCGGGTAGGCTTGGGTCTAGGCCAAGATTTCTTCCACTGCATGAAATGCAACCAGTGCATGAGCATGAAATATGAGAAGGAAGGCCATCGCTGTATCCCGAATTCTATGGAACGCGATTGTCCAGTATGCTACCAGTACTTGTTCACCAGCACACGACCTATTAAGTATCTCCGATGTGGCCATCTTATGCACATGTCGTGCTATTCTGCGTACAACCAACAACGCATGAGCTGTCCCATCTGCGCTAAGTCGCTAGAGGAAGTACAGCCGCTGTTCCAGCAGCTGGACCTGCAGTTGGCAGCATCTGGGAACATGATGCCAGCGGAGTACCGCACAGCTCGGTGTGACCTATACTGCATGGACTGCCAAGAAAACAGTAACACCCCGTATCACTTTGTGTACAACAAGTGCCCACGTTGTTCAAGTTACAACACCAGGGTGGACCGTGTGGATGCGAATGCCACGGAACGGGACCAATCCCAAATGTAAAGTCGATGAAAATATCCTTAACGTTTCGCTTGCCCATGTGGTCCTTATCGTGTCCCTGTGTGGCACTGTAGACTAGAAATGCGTCTGTTTCGTTGCACGACGACATCTGCGCAGTGAAAGCTGAAAGAAGGATCTTTGCAGATACAGTTGCAGATACAATCAATAACGTTGTCCGCAAAGTCACGAGAACGCGTGTTTTGGCGGCGAGCTTGCTCGGATTTTCTGAACGCAAAATTGTCAAACAACGCGTTTGGCAAAACTCAGCATACGGAAAACTCGGGGCACGTGAGTTTTCCAAGAGTTTCACATCCGCCTGATCACGGCAGTGCCGGATCGACCGGTCTTGAAGGAAAACGAAGTGGGTCTTCCGTTCTTTTCATCAGCACAAACGAGTCCTATACTGCACGGGTCGTACCGATATGCGTCATGAACGCCTCTATCGCTTCATCTGCGCACAGTCCATCAATGGATCAAAGCGCGACAGGACCTGCCACAGATGCCGCCGAAGCAACCGCAAAAGACAGACAAGTAGAAGCTTCTAAAAAGCGGTCCTCTCCAAACGGCCCCCCTCAGCCTGTCAGGAAGACGAAACACATCGCCCTTTCGACTGAGAACCTTTCTATCCTTGTAGCGAGCTGCAATATTCGCTTCAGCGAGTATTCGCGCAGGTGCACGTGATCCGTCGGGCGGCACAACGATGTACAGGGGGGGGTCGCTCAATAGTGCCTACTTTAGTAGTGCTTCCCTCTATATAGTGCTATGGCTCACCCTCTGGCACAGGTTATCATACGCTCACACGTGTGTCATCCGGCATGGTTCAGGGCTCAAAGGATGAAGTTATTTAGGGTGACCCCACCGCGCGCCCTAATCGCAAAAAGCAGACAGTTGTCCTCCGGTAATTGGATCTACTATCTTTTAATCAAGGCGCGCTTTGGGAGAGGTGGTGATTCAGAGATGAACCCCACCCCGCCTGTAACACGATACATCTATTCATATTCAGGGTCACCCCAATTAGGCTACAAGTATGTCGTAGAAATACATTTGGCGCAAAGAAGCAAGCTACTGCACGCGTCCGTTCCACAATTGGCGGCAACTTTTGCTCGTCACTTGCCCGCTCTCCATAATATGTAGGCTCCTGTTTGGGAATTATCAACTCGGCAAGTACACCACGCTTTCAATTCGCGGCGTTCTCAGACACTGCGCTCTCAGCAACGCACAGGGCAAGATTATTCTCGTCTGACCACCCCAGTCCCTTACCCTTTTTCCTCACTCTTACTGCCGAGTCATCAGTCCTAGTAACCACCTCAGCCATTGCCTGCACTTCTCAGAAGACGATAAGGAGGGAGAAGATGGGAAATGTCCACGAGCGAAGGCTGCCCAACACTCCTTTTTGCGTCCCACACTATTGATGGGACTTCAGTCAAAACAGCCCCAAAGCCATTTGGGAGGGCTTTGGTAGAGCTGTAAGCACATGAAATTCAGATGTTTTCTGTACCGTTACTATAGAACGAAGCTCGCCCAAACGGCGCTTTGGACAAAAATCTCGACCAAATAATTTTGGTTTGGAAAAGAATCCTTCCCAAATTCTAAACTTTAGGACAAATGGTGGCGCGGTGGGGTGCAAAATTTCTTCCATCGGTCCAAACTTTAGTGGTTGGAATTTTAGGACAGAAATTTTGTTGGCGGTGGGGTCACCCTTAGTTGTGTTATTGTGATGACCCACAAGCCAGCCACAAACTAGGCCACACCATTTGAGGTAGGTAGCAGCGCCAGGACCGAATAAAAGCTCGCGGTCGTTCGCCCCGCACCCGCAGGACTACCGGGGGCACGAGACTTACTTCGTCACAGGTCATGGGCCGCTATGCAACCACTGCCACCCTCCAGTCCACCTCAACACTCCACCACATCCCACAATCTCCCTTCGCAACGAAAACGCCGCTCTGAACGCCGCGCCCTCAATCAAGACATCAACAAATACACAACATACCTTCTACAACAAGCAACACTCCACGAAAACGATCAACACGAACCCCAAGACACAACTAAACACAAACACATCACAAAACACATCACACAAATCACATTCAATCCACAAAATCTGCTCCCCAACCTCACCACCACAAACTACACCTACTGGTATGACGCCCTTCTGCTTCACGCGAGAACGATCGACGCAGCATACCTCCTCGAATCCGAACCCACACCCACAACAGACCCAGCGACCACCCAAACGCGCAACAAACAGGCCGATCAGCTCCGCAAGCTCATCATACCCAGCCTGCCCTCCACCATCGTAGCCCTCTTACCCCCAACCATCCTCCGCGAATCTCCTCACCACATATGCACACTTCTCCGCGAGCACATCCACGACGCCAACATCGAAAACCACGAAGTCCTCGACGCTGAGGCACGATGTAACAAACTTCTTCCTGGTTCTGAATTTTCTACGTTTATCAACACCCACATCTCAATCCTTCAAAAGATGATCAACGCCAATTACCCCAACATAGACCAAGAACGCACCACCGTCAACTACATGATACAAGTGATCAGCAACCACCCCGACCTTGGACCCGTTGCTGTCGTGCTAGCGGGCAGCCCACCCGCCTCCATCCGCAAATTCACGAACCATGTCCGACAGGTCATGCTGATGCAGAACAAGCAGCAAGAAGCCAGTACACCGCAACCCGTCTTCCCCAAACCTGCCCCAACCCAACAACCACCGCCGCCCCAATACACGCCACGCCAGCAGTGCCAACGACCCCCGTAGAACCAGTACACGCCTCGCCCACCCTACCAATCCCAACAACAGCAACGCCGTGCCCCCCGCCAGCCATGCGCACCCCGCAACCACCCTCGCCCCAAAGGTTGGGCCGGCAAGTGGTGCAGCCATCATGGCAGCATCACACACGACACTGAGCAGTGCTATACTCTGCAAGGCAGATGCAGACAGTCGTATGGAGCCAACGGCCTCTACGATACCGACACGCAGCAACAGGGGGACCACACCACCACCCCCACCACACCCAACACAGAAGACCTCCACCAACGCGTAGCACAGCTGGAAGATGCCCTAGCCACACACACTGCACACACCAGACCTCCAGGTAAGACACATTTTCTCCTCGATTCCGCAGCGCACCCAACTCACGTCACCAAACCCCACCCCAACCTCAAACCGACAACAGGCAAACTAACCCTCACCGCTACGGGCCAACCCTGCCCGATCACCCATCATGGAAAGACGACGATCTCAACGACGCCTAAGCACGTCACTACCAACACAGTGTGCGCCCCGAAACTCCGCCAGAACCTCCTCTCCGTCCACGACCAAACGCGCCACGGCCATATCACCTTCACCAAAGACCACGCAACGCTGCACGACCCAACGCCACTGCCCCCGGGCGATCCCCACAGCCAAATTTCATCAAGGTTTCTACCGCCTCGACACTCCCTCACCGCACCTTCCTCCCCAACGGGCCATAGGACGTGTGCTAGCAGCCCGAGGCACACCTTACAAGAAAACAACCAAGACGTGCAATAAACCCCCACCTCAACCAACCCCAACGCGTACCAAACAACTCCCACCACCATCTCCCCGACGCCCCACACCGCCCAAAACCACCCCACCATCAAAACCAACCAAACTGCACCTCCCTCCACGCACACCGCAACAAATCCGACAACAAGCGCACGAACCAACAACACCGCCAAGACCCAACGCACAACAAACCATGCACGAGTGGCACCTCAAGCTTGGACACCTTCGTCCCCGTTCCATAGCAACAATGGCCAAGCACGTCATGCTTCCCATCCTACCCAAAGCACTCCAAAACAACCCTCCCAAGCTCTCGTGCGCGGGCTGTATTGACGGAAAAACCGCAGCAGCCCCACACAAGCGCACTGTACACACTACAACAGCCGGACAAAGCCTCTCCTCCGACGTCTGCGGACCGTTCTCCCCACCGTCAATGCAAAAGAACAAATAATTCATGACGGTGCTCGACACCGCCACACGATACCTGGTCGTAGCCTTCCTCAACAACCGAGCACAAGTACCAGCCAACCTCACAACAGCCATAGAATCAATCGCAAGCTCAACCGGACGATACCCGCTCACCGTCACGACCGACAACGCGCGTGAGTACACATCCAAATATATGTAACAGTTCCTGGCACAACGTGACATCCGATTCAAACCATCCACACCCTACACCCCCCAAGAGAACGCCATAGCAGAAAGAATCAACAGCACCATCTTGAACGCTGCCCGTGCAGCCCTCGCCCACAGCCAACTTCCCCAAGCGTACTGGGAGGACGCAGTACGTGACGCTGTATTTAAATACAACATGAGTTACCAGCATGTGGTACAAAACATACCACACACACTATGGCATGGTGCACCTCCAGCCATCGACAAACTCTTCATATTTGGCCAACTTGGCTCTGTCCCCATACTCAAAACGCCAAAGCATAAGCTGCGAACACGCGCCCGCACCGCTCGTTACATGTACGGCATGGACGTCGCACACGTCAAGGTATTCAACCTCAACACGCGCAGCTACCAAACTGTACGCACCAACAATTTTCACCCATACACCAAGCACTCCGACCCCACGCGCACCACCAACGCCGCATTCGCAGCACAGCAACAGCGCCGCAGAATCCCGCTAACCATTACCCCAACCACGACTCCCCCCCCGGACTCGCCAACAAGCAAACAAATACCTGGACGCGCGCGAATGGGGCACAGCACACAATGCCGAACTGGACCAACTCGATCTCACACAAGCAATAGACTGGAACGTGAGCGCGCAACTCCCGCCGCGCAATGAGATCATACCGATGACCATGACGTACCGATACAAAGCGATAGAAACCGATCCCACCGACGTCAAACGCAAAGCTAGATGCTCCGTCCGGGGCGACTGTAGCATAAACACCCCAGCGATAGGGGTGTATGCACAGTTCGACCGAGACCCCGTCCGATCGGGAAGACGGAGGGGGTGAAGCAGGACACCAGCTAACGGCACCGGGCAGCGGGCCCGGGTAGCGTGGTAGAGCGGGAACGGGGAGGACGCCGGTACGCGCGAGCGGTTCGACGCCTCGACGCCCCGGCGCGGTACTGGGTAACGATCCAGTACCGACGGGCGGAGGCGGAGCCGACTCGTGGGCGTACCGCGCGTCCTCAACCCGCGCTCGGTGCCGCTCTAAGGTAGTTAGCGAGCGCTACCTTAGAATAAGCGGGAAGTCGGACCTCGACGGTCGGTGGGTGACAAGTCCGTCCCTGTTCTCCTCCACCGCCGCCGGTCCGCTGCATATTTAATGTACATAATAACCTATCATAGTAGTACAGTACCGATGTACTGTAGCGACGTACTGTAGCGGTCGGTCGACACTGTAATACTGTCAGCCATCGGGGCTGACAGTACACGTGTGTGCGCGCTCTTCGTTCCGCGCGTAGACGTGTACACGTGCGCCCCCTGTACTTGGGGGTACACGTGATGGTACTGTAGAGCATCGAGCCCTACAGTAACCGATCCGATTCTGAGTTGATCTAATCTAAAATAAAGCCCCAGGGGGGGGTTATACTACACGGCCCCCCCCTTAAGCGGGTACGTCCGCGTCCACGGGTGCTTGTAGAGCGTGAGCCATGTCTAACCGCGTCCTCGATACGGTCCCGTCCGCTCCTTACCACGACTCCGCTCTCTGGGCGGTATTCTCGGCGTCTCGCCCCGTGCTCCTTCGTGCGCGCGCTGATTCCTCGCCCCTCTCTCCAGCAACCGGCGATCTCGTTCCCCTTTCGTCTCCGTCGCCCCCTCTTAACCGGGCGGTCGTGCGCACGCCCTCTGGGGTCGCCCTCAGCATCACATTGTTACCCCTTTCGAGGGGGTTCGTGTTCCTTCCTCTAACCGGGCGAGCACTCTTTCTTTTCCCTGCCCCCGAGCTCGCCTTCTCCCCCGTCTGCATACTCGGCTCACGTCCCGGCGTCACCGATATGCCGTCTCCCACGACCCCTCAGGGCGGTATCACGCTTCCTCTGCCAGCTCCGGGCAGTGGGTCGGACGAGCTGGTCGTTGGCTCATCGGCTATGGACGACCGCACCCCTGTCGAGGGGGTGCCCTCACAGT